CATGTAGTGGTCATGGAGGCTCCAGATGCTCCAGCCCAGTTCCAGTGTTGGTAGGGGAGGGTGAAGGCAGTTACTCAGGCTGCTGAAGCTGTCTGGAGTACAGATCAGCTCAACTATTCTCTTTTGTGCTTCCATATTAATATTAGGATTTTTTTCTACTTCTATGAAGTTAGATGCTGGTATTTTGTTGAGGATTGTATTGAATCTGTAAATTATGTTGGGTAATATTGAAATGTTAACAGTCTAAGGTCATACCTGAATGCACCCAATCTCTTCTGAAATGTTAATAATCTTAATTATTCCAGTCTATGAATATGGAATGTCTTTCCATTTTTTTTGTGTCTTTTTATTTCTTTCAACATTTTGTAGTTTTCAGTGTACAAGTTTTTGACCTCCTTGGTTAAAAAAAGTTTTAGTATTTATTCTGTTAGAAATTAGAGAGCAAAAGAGACTTTCAAGGTCTGGTAAAATTCAGCTACAAATCCATTCTGGGCTTCAGGACCTGGGGTTTTCTGTGTTGGGAGAGTTTTTTTTTTTTTTTTTGTAAGTATAAAATAAATGTTTGTGATCTTTATTATTATTATTTCTGGGCTGAAAATATGACTGCACAATGAAGAACTAAGCTAGGCATTAAGAGGGTTTTCACCTTATATTAAGAAAACTACAGCATAAACCACCTACAAAAAGAGAATTATTTGACTCACATTATAATTGAATCAGAGCTGAAACGAGTCATCTCCTATTGGGGATGACAAAATCATTTTTATTCCCATGACTGCCTGGGAGAGTTTTTATTATCCCTTTTATCTCACTAACAAGCTCTTGGTTCAGTTTTAGTAGGCTGTATATGTCTAGAAATGTCTTCATCTAGATTTTCCAATTTATGGAAATACAGCTTTCAAAGTAGTTCATAATACTCTATATTTCAGTAGCATATGTGGTAACATCTCATTTTTTGTTCTAATTTTACTAATTTGGGTCTTCTGTTTCTTTTGATTTGGCTAAGGTTGTTAATCTTTATCCTTCCAAACAACCTATACTTAAATTCACTAGTGCTTTGTGTTCTTTTATTTTCTACATCATTAAGTTCCACCTTGACCTTTATTACCTGTACTACATTTGTGTTTGGTTTGTTCCTGTCTAAGATCTTAAAGTGCATCCTTAGGTTGTTTGAGATCACTAATTTGCTAATGTAGGCACTCATAGCTTTACAATTCCCTTTTAGGACTATGTCCCACAAATTCTGGTATATTCCTCACTTCATTTGAGGAACTTAAAAATTTCTGCTCTGATTTCTTCAATGACTAACTGGTTGTTCAAATGTGTATTTTTTTAGTTTCCATGTGTTTGTAGTTTTTATGGTTTCTTTTTTTTTTTTTGGTTTTTCTCTGGTACCGGGAACCGAACTCACGACCTTGCGCTTGCCAGGCAGGAGCTTTTGCCACTGAGCTAAATCCCCAACCCCTTCTTTTGTTCTTTATTTCTAGTTTTGATCTAAAAAGATTATGGGGTTATTTCATTATATCTGTGGACATAAACTGTAGTCAAGAAGAATAATATATAAGAACCAAATGTCCTCAGTGAAATTTATAGTGCATTTTTTATGTTTTATGAGAATATGTATGAAAATATGTTTCACTATATGGATCGCAAATTTCTGGAATAAATTTTTGTTTGTTTGTTTGTTTGTTTTTCTCCGGTACCAGGAACCGAACTCACGACCTTGTGCTTGCCAGGCAGGCACTTTGCCACTGAGCTAAATCCCCAGCCCTGGAATAAAATTTGGATTCAACAATAAATTTGCTTCCATAAAATGCCTTAACAACTGTATGAGTCAGGAAGTTTTAGTTCTTCCAAGGTAATCTGACCCTTTCTGCTCTCTTCTGCAAGAAAGAGAAAAGGAAAGTTGCATTGGCCATAATTCTTTCTCCTGGCCAAGACTGCTGATCTACTTATCTTCCACACAACTGTGCCCAGTGACCTTGAAACCCTGTCACCCATCTCATCCTTCAGTTCTCTGTGTTCCAACAGGGAGACAGACCAGGCCAGTCGAAACCTTTTCTGAGACCCCATCATTTACCTTTGTTGATTTCTAGCAGCAAAACACATTAGTATATATTGGAAAGTGTTTTAACTGATTTATGAGGGACTTTGCATTCAGGTCTTGCAGATATCCCAGGCTTCTTCTTTAAAGGATCTATCGTGTCACTTCCTTTTGTTTTTTACTTTGTCCTGACTGAGGAACTTGGGTCTTAGAAAATAAAGCTAATTGTTTTGGGGAAAATATATATTAACTAAAACTTAGGTTAAGTTTCATGTTCCTTTGAATGGCTTTTATTATTATTTTATTATTATTGATGCTCTAGCAATGAACTATTTTACTACTTTACAGAATGCTTGTGGTTCCATGTGTTTCTGCTGAGCTTGTAAAAGAGATACCTGGGTGGTGGACTAAGAAGAACACTGATACTCTGTAGAAAATTTCAAATTGGATAATACGGGATTTTTACACTAGTTCTGCAGCTCTGCAGCTCAAATAAATACAGATGGATGAAGACCTCATTTAGAAAGTCACCAGGCCAGTGGTCCAGAGCTGATGCAGGTAAGGAATGCAGTTCTGTTCGAATTTTAGTTTAATGAATTTTTATCGGGGGTGGTCGTCCTCTTCGACTGAGCGCGCAGCTTCGGGAGGGACGCACATGGAGCGTTGAGGGAGGAAGGGGACACCCGCCTAGCCAGCCAGATGAGCCGAATCAACCCTGGCGATCAATGGGGTGACAGATGTCGCAGCCAGATCGCCCTCACATCCTTTAATGAATTTTTAAAAGCAAATATAAAATTGAGGAGTACTTTCACTCCATATCTAGTGGTTTGCTGGTTTGCTATTCTTGAAGCCTTGTGACATCCAGCAATTTATACACTTGAAAAATATAGTTTCTTGAAAGCATGGTTTTAGGGAAGTGTCCATTAGTTTTAGGGAAGTATGCATAAGTATATTATTTCATACTAGATTTGGTGCTTATTTTGAAGTATTCTGGGATTCTGAAGTGTATTGAACAGAGTAGTTATGTGTGCATATATGGATGTTGTATTTATATATTTGGGTGTGGTGTTTAGATGCTTTTTTAGGGCATTGTGTGATATTTATTTTATGCATGCATTACAAAAGCAGGTAATTTTATGCATTTTACAGTTTTGTTAAATGTGTATATTCATAGAGGAGGAGTTTTATATATGTTATGATGTTAAAGTAAAAATTTGGGTATATGGTTTTTGGTGTGAAGGAATTTAACAGTGAGGTGACTGGGTGGGTGTGTACTGGAGGGTTCTAAGTTGCATATGTATAAGCTGGGAAAATTAAGAGATTCAATTTTAGCTTTTCATGGTGGAGCCTGTGAGCTGGGCATGGTGGTATATGCATCTAACCTTGGCAGTCTGAGCAAGTTAGTGACTTTATTGAGATCTTGTCTTAAAAAAACAAAAAGTCCTGGGAATGTACCTTAGTAAGAAGGCCCTAGATTCAATTCCCAGTGCATCAAAAAGAAAAAACAATGGAACTTGTCTATGCTTTGTATTTGGACATAAGTGGCTATTATTTGTATTTGTATTTGTGAGTTTGTTGTGGGTATGTATACTTAGGCATCACGATGGTTGAGTTTATATAATAAGAAAATGCAATGAGATAGCTGTGTGTCCACTGTAGTGCTGTGGGAGTGTGGTGTGTGCTTCAGGAGAGACTGTAGGATAACTTTATGTGAATATGGGTCTGGAATATATGGGTATTGTAGTTTAATGTCTTTCCTTATATTTGGGATATGTACATAGCATGTGTCCTAGCAGTAGGAGTCATATTGGGTGCTTTAATGGTGACAGTATAGAGGCACAGTTAATTGTGTGATAAGATTTATGGTGTGATAGGATTTAGTACTTTAATTGAAGTGAGTATGAAAGGGTATTAAGTTTTGTCAAATATGTTTTTTCCCAATTTTCAACAATGGAGATGGACAATATATTGTTGTTTTCCCTTTGTTATGTCAAACTTGTATATTATACTGTTTCTATTTCATATGTTGAACCATCCTGGCATCAAGAAAGAAATCCTTTGTGTTGCTAGTGAATGTTCTTTGTTAGGTACTTTTGAATTAAGTTCAGTAGTGTTTTGTTGATTGGGTTTACATCAATATTTATAAAATACATTAGTCTCTCATTTTCTATTCTTTATTATCTTTCTTTGGCTTTGATACCAGTATAATACTATACTGAATTCAAGTTATTTTGCATGGTGTCTTTTTCATTTGACAGTCCCATCAGAAAGAAATGACAGATCTAGTTTCTTGGTTTTCTCATCAGCATGCAGTACTGTCACTCATTTGTCTTTTAGTTGTTCAAATCAGCATGTGGCCATTGTTCTTGGGATTTTAATTTATATTTTGTTAATCGCTAGTGATGTTACACATCTTTTTATGACTTGTTTGCCAAATATTGGAGTGTTTCCATTTTTGGTGAAGAATTTTGAGAATTTCTTTTATATTCTGGATACAAGACCTTGTCAAATATTGGTATCAGCAGGAAATAATCATCAAAGAAGATTTTCATGCTTGATCCGAAACAGAATGGTGGTGATATTGATATATTTAAGTATTAGTTAACTTGAATTTGGAAGAATTATGTTGGCATCTCCACCGAAGTTACAAAAACAATGATGGGAGAACTGCTGGTGTCTTAAAATGAAGCGAGACAGTGGTATCAAGCAACACCAATAGGGATTATATTTGTCACTTTCCTACACTTGCATTGGACAAGTCACTTTTAGCCAGGCTTGGCGGCACATGGCTATAATCCCAGCCATAAGGGAGGCCAAGGTACAAGGATCCCCACTGAGTTCAAGATCACTCTTGGCAGCTTTAGATAAATAGGTAGATAGATAGACAGTCAGACAGACCAGTTTTCATTAAGAATGTGTGTAGGTGAAACAATAAATGTCACTAAATTTGTCCATTGAGAATGCATATTTTAATAATGCATGTTAAAATCAAATGTATAAGCCCAATGCATCTAGATGACAAAGTGAATGGGAAAAGGACTAGATTAGGCACAAATCTGGAAAAATATGCAGAGACAGAGTAACTAGTGGTTGCAGCAAAGATGCATGAGGTAGTCACTAAATAGCAGGTGATGACTCTTTGAGGTGATAAGACTCTATGAATATATTTACTGCAGTCGTAGTTGCAAGTTGTATTTTTTAAAACCCTCAGACTTAAATGTTTAAATGGCAATGTGTGTTATATGAATTTTTTATAGATGATTTTTAAATAACCTGAAGCAAAAACATTTACGATGTTAAGGGTCAGGCAGTGTCTCAGCTGCTTAGCCACCCTGATAGGTCCCACAAATCAGGGACTCTGTCAGTCCTGCTCATGCACACAGAACTGGAAGACTTCCTGCAACTCTGAGTTAGAATAAAAGTGCAGCTCCAGTACAGTGTCCCTAAGAGCTAGGCCTTCCCAGTGATTGTTAGACAAGGCATTTTCATTAATAAAGGGGCTTGAAGCAGGGGATCTTGCTGGTGTTGTCAGTTGAAGTTTCTCCAAGATGCAGTGGTTTCTTTCCATAGAAGCCAGGTCAAACCACCCACTCATGAAGGCCAGGTGTGGCTCAAAATTGGTCTAGCCTTACCACTTGGCCCTTTTCAGGAAGCAGAAAGAAGACCTTAATAAAACTGTGGCTGTGGTTTCCACTCTAACACACTGTTTAATGGTACAGAGGACTGAAAGGGACTTTGAAGGGATGTATATAATATCAGGATGTGCACAGTAGGCCCCTTAAAGCAGGAAAGTCCCTCTGTCTGGCCCTTGCACGGATGATCAATACCCACTTTGTGCCCAAGGCCAACAGGAACTCCAGGTTCTGAGGCGATATTCTGTTTGCAAGAACAAATGCCCCAACTGAGAGAAAACCAAACAAACATGGGATAGTGGCTTGTCTTTGCCCTCTTTGGCCTCCACCATGGGCCTCTGTGGGAATATGGCTAGCCTTGCTGGACAACTGCAGGGGTTGGGGCCTTAGAGAATCTGACCTTGTTGGAGCTAGAGGTGATCCAATCACTAGCCTCCCCCATTAACTATATCTTATTTTCCTTTTTTTTTTTTTTTTGCTACATCCTCAAACTCCATGAACCTGGAGTGTGGGAAGGCAGAGGCTGAACTGGTAGAGAAACCAGGTCACAGGCCATAATGGCACCAGGATGGAGCCAAAGGCAGGGATGAGAGCAATGCCCTGGGGCTAGCTGGTCTAGTGATAGGAGCGTACTGATCTTAGGGCATAACCAGAGTTCTGGACACATCCTTCTTCACCTGCAAGGAATGTAGTCAGGCTAAGGTCACCTAGCAGAGCCCTCAACTGACCCTTCTGCCCTTGTGAAGGCCACACACAACAGCTGACCACCAAGTGCTGGTCAGGAAGTGAGTTATTGCAGAGATCACCAAAGGTCTTTGCTCCATCCAGGGATCCTGAGTTGGGACTCTGAGCCTTGGAATGATGACCTGGGAAAGAAGAGCCAGAAGTCAGGAGAAAGTGGAAGTTAAGCTGAAATGATTCTGTTGCTTCCCTCTGCTGCTATGTCTTTGATTCTGTATTTGTTCATTTGTTTCCTGAATGGAGTGGAGTAGGTGGAACAAAAGCAGTAAGGGCAGGAGTGTGTCCTCAGGGTTCCTGAGAGGCTCTCTTCTGCTGAATGTGCTGTCTTCTCTCCTACCATCTTCAGGAATCTCAGGTTCCATCTCATGGATAGGGACAAGGCTGGAGGAACTTTTCCCCCTTTATACAGCCACCTTTAGAGGAAACCCCATGCAGAGTGAGGTCAGAACTTCTAGGACTCTTAGACCAAGTACTCCCAGCTTTGCTGGTAAAGGCAACAGCCTCCTGAACACCAAGGTGTCCTGAAGTGGAGCCAGTGGTAGTGAACACTCTTGCTTGGCAATATGTAGGTGACAGGACCCAGTGAATATAGCTGATCCCAGGACAGAATCACAGTTCTGGGACAGAGGAATAGAGTGCATGCCCTTCCACAACCCAGTCCCAGACCCAGTGTCCCTGATTCACTCTTCAGTCACCTTGTAGTAGGTCATGGGATCAAAGTTGCTTGTCTAGTTCCATTCCTCAGGCTCTCCTCTAGGCTCATGGATGGATGCTGCGGGGAGAGGGACTGGAGCACTGGCCTGTTATTGCTCAGGATCAGTCACTGTCCTCCACCCTCACCCTCCCTTCCCAGTACACCTGGCCCTGCACACCCTCTTGTCCCTGTCACATCTTCCCTGGCATAAACCTTTTTCTTTGGTCTGTCAACCTCCAGGAACCAGGCATAAACACGAAGGGCTACACTGGGGAATCTGATTTTCCTTTGTGTCCTCATTGTTCGTGCTGTCTATTACAAACAGGGTATTTTGTCCCCACAGTTCATGCGTTGAAGTACTGACACCCAGTGTGATGTATTCTGAAATGTGTCTTTGGTTGGTAATGAGGGTCAGACGATGTCAACAGGGTAGGGCTCCCATAATAGGATTAGTGGCTTTTAGGAAGAGGAAGAGACTCCAGAACTGTCTCAGCTATGTGAGGACACAGGTGAAGCTGGTTACTTTCCCAAGTAAGGGTGAGAGTCCTCATCATATGTGGAATCTGCCAGCCCTTGACCTGGGAATTGAAGCCTGCAGAAGCATGAGAAATAAATGGGAGTGGTTTCAACTCATCAGTCTAGGGCATTCTGTGAGGTCAGGGAGGGAGGCTGTGATATGTTTTCAGAAACCTAAACTCAAACGGTGGCTCAAATTAATGGTGTCTGACATTGAGTCTTCAGTGTGATGATGAATAATTATAGAAAATGAATCACACTCACAGAGAATTGATTTCTTAAAATCAAGCATAGAATGGCTCTCCCACTAGCCTGTACAACGTGTCTTGACCCCAACAGTCTGGCCCAGTTTACTTTCAAACCTTACCCATCTGTAGCTGGATCCTGAGTGAGCATCTGCTGCAGCAGGTTACCCTCTGGGTCCTGCCTCTGATTTCTTCTTGTGGAAGGGACCAGACATCTGTGGTGAGTGTTAAATAATGTGGAGATGGCATTACTAGGAGGTAGGGCTGGGGAGTCAAGAGCATGTTATATGGTTCCCTGTCACCCCTTGAAACATTGAGAATCTGAGTTTAGCACTTAGCCTGCAGTCAGTTGGTTGAGCAGAAGTAGAGAAAAGAGAAAATACAGGATTTAGTGAAGGGCATATCGACTAGAGAGAAAGAGAAAGCCCATGTCAAGCTGAGACTGCTCACGAGTACGAGGACCCCTTAGAGGTAGATCATAATGCCTCAGGGAACATACTGTGTCAAGAGAAATGATGGGAGCACATGGATTGTTTCTGGAAGGGACACAGGTCAACTTAAAATGATTTGTGTGCAGTGGTGGGTTGTTGTCAGAGTGGTGGCCCAGGGCAGGTTCAAGATGAAAGCTTGAGTCCTGTGTCCTTTCTTCAGGGACCTGGAACTCGTGTGTGTCGTGCTTTTTTTGGCCATCTTCAGATGCAGGGATATTCAAATTAGCCCACGTAGGATTTGTGAACCCTTGCTGTATTAGTCAGCATTCCATTAGTGGAACAAAATACTGACATTCACAGGAGAATTTAAAAGAGAAATGGTCTATTTTGGCTCACAGTTTTAGAGGTTTAATCTGTGTTTTTCTGGTTCCAAGGCAGAAACATCACGGCAGAGAAAATGGTAGATGAAAGCTGCTCAACTCATGGCAACACAGAAAAGCAAAAGAGCCCAGAGAGGAAGGGATTGGCAGCTAGGCATAGTCCCAAGGTCAACCCCTTATGACCCAGCCAGTCATACCCAGAAATGCACTTTACTAGTCCCCTTAGTGTTTCTCAAGCCAATGAGATTAACAATCAAGATTAACCGGGCATGGAATGTGTTAGCTAAAATTTTGGTGGACTCTGCCCTCCCCTCACTATTCCTGTAGAAAAGCCCTGGACCAACATTGTCTACTAAGCAACAAACATCTCTGATCATGTATGAGCAGAGTCAGAAGATGGATAGAGCTCTTATTCACTCTCATAGTACGAGAGGAATAGGGAGCTGCATGCCTGTGTCCTTACGAGCTATCAGTGTGTGTTGTGGGGGGCTCTTGGCTGTGTTGGATTGGAAGGATGCTCAAAGTTACCTTGTGGAATGAGGAATGTTATTAAGCATGAAAATTACCAGAGAGAGAAATAGTTATCAAATTTTAAAACTATTACAAATTCATGTTAGTGAGTGAACTTTATAATTTTTTTTTTTTTTTTTTTTTGCAACTGAAAGGTTGTAATGTCTGAGGAATAGAGAGGGCAAAATTGTTTCCATAGTACCTGCTATGTCAGCTGAAACCAGCCCTGATTGTCACATTTTTGCAAAAGGTTTAACAAGACTTTGCAAAGGAAACATTTGTGACTCCACATTTATAGAGAGAGTTGTATGTATGAAATAAACATACTCAGGACAGTAAAAGCAAGATAAATTGTAGGAATGGAATCAGGACAAATTGTGCCTTAGAATCTTCTCCAGGCCTGAAATTTTTTGCAAGAGATGTTTTTAATGGAACCTTCCAGTGACTAGGAGGAAAGGACACTCGAGTGTTTGGAAAGCATGAACAAGAATGAAAGGAATGCAGTCCAAAAGAGGTAAAGTAGTGGGTCACATGTAAGGATATAGTAGTTTGCTCTAGAATAAATGCCTCAAAGTCCTTCATATACAGTGATTTCAATGTGCATGGATGACAGGTATAAAATTCTGAAAATCACGCATGCTCAGTTTAGATGTGCTCTTTAAGGAGGGCCAACCACAATGTTTCCTTGAGGAGTTGTCAGCCTGCCACAGACATCATGGAGGAGGAACTGATCTATCACGGACAGCTAAGTTAGGTATAAATATTATAGGCTGTCAGACAGGGCTGGGGCCTCAGAGGAGTCAGTGCAGAAGACGAGAGAACTTCTACATCTTCTACTTCTACAACTGTGGGTAGAAATACATTCATTGAAGGCCAGGCCTCAAGACAAGGATGAAGTGACTACACCTATGTCTCCGGGGATAAGCAATGACTGATATTGTAAATAAGCATCAACCACATGGGTGGATGGCCAACACCTTGACCCATCCCTTCCAGGAAATGTCCTTGTTCTTTCCATGTACACTTGCTATATGACTTGCTTTCCCACTGGATCAAGACTACCTAAGGCACTGTACTTCTAATCTTACTGGCTGATCATGATTTTGTCCCATCTTTTACCCACCTCATGATTTTGCTCTGAAAAACTTCCTTCAAGAAGTGGGCTCATGGGCAACCCACTTTGAAACTATCTTTCTGTCCCTCAATAAATAGTTTCTACCCTTAACTTCTGTTGTTCCTTAGAATTGGTTCTTCAGTTTTGGGGAACATGAACCTGGCGTACTGGGCCTCTAGAAGGTAGGGAGTTACAATATTTTGCTTGTATCATTCGGCAGTCCTATGTTGTTCCTATATCACTGCCACTTCTTTGTCTTCCCACAGGGTTTTCCCTGTGCCATTGTATGTTAGAAGTATATAACTTACTTTTTGATTTTTTTTTCAGGGTCTCACAGCTAATGTCACCATGACAGGTTTAATTCTACTGGTGCCTAAAGCAGCCAAAGAGTGAAGGAGACTAGTGGCAGAAGGAAAGATTTTATTTAGGAACAAGCCAGCCTCTTTTTGAATCTTTTGTTAGAATGTTATCTCATTCCTTGAATGGGCTCTTTGTTAGTTCATTAGTCCCAAGAAATTATTGGGCTGTGTGAATCTGAGAAAACGTTATGGTTTGGAGATTTTCTTTTCTTTTTTGGTCTTTTTGAGACAGGGTCTCGCTATGCAGTTCAGGCTGGACCTTGTAGCCCAGGCTGGCTTCGAACTCGAAAAGATCCTCCTGCCTTAGCCTCCCGAGTGCTGGGATTACAGGCATGCACCACCACGTCTGGCCAAGATTTTCTATTTTAAGATTTTTATTCTGGTTTCAGTCAGTAAATCTCACTTCTGCATTGTAGGGTTTTGTTTTGTTCTGTTCTGCTTTGCTTTGTTTGCCTTTCACTTGAGATTACTGAACCCAGAGCCTTTGCACTGAGCTATATTCTTAGCCCTTTTTATTTCTTAAAACAGGGTCTTGCTAAATTGAGTTGCTCAGGCTGACCTTGAACTTGTGATCCTCCTGCCTCAGCCTCCTGGTGTGCTGAGATTATGGGCATGTGCCACCACACCCAAATATAAATACCTTTTAATTGGGACATTTTGCATAATTTAGGAAGTGGGAGTACCCAGGTAAAAGGTTAGTGTTGTTCATTCTTTATTCAGTCATTATGATAATGGAGCAAGTGGCAAAGAAACCCATAAGGTCTTTAACTGAAAAGCAGAAGGAGAAGAGAAGAAAAGTTTTACCATGGAGTGTGGCCTCACTAATTTTGCCTTGAGTCTCAAGGAAGACTTTGGGTTTGAAATTTTGCTCACTGCTGGAGCTGTTGAGACTGGTGGACTCTTGGGGATGGACTAAATGAATTTTGTACTGAGAGACGTACATAGGCATTTGGGGGCCAGGGGTACAGTCTTATGGTTGGATCTTAATTGGCCCAAAGGCTCACGTACTAATGGCTCTGTCCCTAACTAGTATCCTTGTAGAGGATATTGCATGCCACAGTCTTTTCTCTCTGTCTCTGTATTTGCTTTCTGGTCACCATCAGGTGAGCAGTTTTGCTCAGTAATGCATTCTGCCATGATGTCTTGCCCTGATGTAGGCACAGATGATCATGGACTGTGCCTTCTAAAACTATGAGTGAATGAAACTCTTTCCTCCTTTTAAACTGTTTTCCTTGGGTATTTTGTCACAGCTAAAGAAAGCTTATAATATACCCCTATCTACAATACAGGTGGCCTCTCCCATTACCCAAACTCACCTCCTGTAGCTTCACACCCTTAATCCCAGCATTGGACCACGAATCAATCACAAACTCTAAATTAGCCCCCTCTGAAAAACTCACCCCCATGGCTGCATGAGGCTTTGGTGAGACATTTAGACACAAACCATAACAATTGCTATTTTTTTTTTTTTTTTTTTTTTTTTTTTGGTTTTTCTCCGGTACCAGGAACCGAACTCACGACCTTGCGCTTGCCAGGCAGGCGCTTTTGCCGCTGAGCTAAATCCCCAGCCCAACAATTGCTATTATTTTTTATATATTTGGTATACTTCTCCAGTAGTCATCTAATTCTATGCTTTTCTTTGTTGGAAGGTTTTTAATTACCAATCCAAGCACTTTATTTATAGGTTGCTCCAGATGTACTATTTCTTTATTATTCAACCTTTGTAGTTTGTGTTTTTCTATATTTTGTATATTTCATCTAATTATGCAAATTATTGGCATAAAATTACACATATTTATGTCTTATAATAGATTTTGTACCTGTGAAATCAATAGTAACACCTGCCTTTTGTTTCCGATTATAGTAATTTTAGTCTTTTCTCCTTTAACTTGGGAAAGCTAGTTAAAGATTTTGTAATTTTTCTGTTGCTTTCAAAGAACTATGCTTGGCTTTGTTGATTTTCTATGTTATTTTTCACTTCTCTATTTGTCTCTACACCAACATTTATGTTTACTTTTCTTCTAGCTTTGTGTTTAGTTTTTCTTTCATCTAAATCATTAAGGTATGACAGTAGATTCTTAATTTGAGATCTTCCTTTTTAATGTTCATGTTCACAGCCCTCCTTTACAGTGTTAGCACCTCTTATGCTAGATTCTGTAAGTTAGGCATATTGTGTCCTCATTTTCACTTGTCTCAAGATGTTTCTGTGTTTTATCTTGTGATTTTTTTTCTTTGCTTCATTGGTTGTATCACAGCAGGTTGTTTAAATTTTCATATATGTGTGGCTTTTTTGGTTTTCTTTAAGCTATTGTTCTACTTTCATTTTCTTTTTATTGAAAGAGATATTTTGACTGATTTGAATCTGTAAAAATTCATTAGGATTTATTTTGTTGCCTGGCATTTGTTCTTGTTCAATATTCCATGTTCACTTGAGAAAAATTTGCTTTCTGCTGTTGCTGCTTGGAGTGTTCTGTATATAGATGTCTGTAAGGATGGATTGGTTCACAGTGTTGTTGAGTTCTCTATATCCTTATTAATCATCTGTCTGTTTTTTATCTATAATTGAAAATATGACCTTGAAGTTTTCTGTTGTTATTTTAGAGCTATTTCTTCAATTCTCTGCAAATGTGTTTTGTATAGATAGGAGCTTTGTTATTTGGTGTATTTTTAAAATCATGTCTTATAGATGACTGGATCCTTTTGTCATCATATAGTGTCCTCATGTCTTGTAAGTTTTTGATTTAAAGTCTATTTTTGTGCCACTGCTGCTGATTTTGATTACTATTTCTATAGAATACCCTTTCCATCCTTTGCTTTTAACCTGTTTGTGTGTCTGGATCTAAAAACACTTGCAGAGAGCATATGCGTGGTTCCTGTTTTTTTTTTAATGGGGCCAATTTGTCTTTTAATTCAAGAATTTCATACATTTAAAGTAATTAATAACAGGGAAAGACTACTACCATTTTATTACCTATTTTCTTTGTCTTACAGGTTTTTGCCTTCTATTTCCTCTGTTATTTTCTTACTATGTGTTTATTT